GCCACCAGATGCTCGAGAGTGAGGACATGCAGCAGCTGCTGAGGGTCTTCAGTATGGGTGGAGCTTCTGGCAGTTCGCCAGACGACACGTTCAACTTCCAGTCCTACATGCCCTCTCCCTTACCGAACCTCGGGTTTGAAACTGAGCGTAGCCATTCATCTGGAAAAGCTGTTGTTGGCTGGCTCAAGATCAAGGCAGCAATGAGGTGGGGAATTTTCGTCAGGAAGAAAGCTGCTGAGAGAAGGGCGCAACTGGTCGACCTGGAGGATTAACATCGTGGCTTTACAATGATCAAGGTTGCGTTGTAAATTACTAGTAGTTATCTGCCCCCTATACCGTCCTGTTACCTTTGAGACAAGTTTCTGAAATGTACAACGAGTAGTTTTGCTATCTTGTACAGAATTCACCTTGTTTGCTTATGTTAGTTGTGTAACATAGCTCTGCTAAGTTTAACAGATGACTATGCTTGTGTACCCCTTTTTCCTAGCTCTTCTAGTGCAGAATACCGTGACAGTGCGAATTTATCCAAAGATTAAAGTGTGTATGCTGATGCATTGCTTTTTGAAGTGTCTTTTGCAGAACTCCCTTGCTGGTAACATTCAGGAATTTTATACGAGACCACATCTTTTTGCCTTGGAGTAATCAACAAATGATTCCTAGATTGCTCATTTTGCCCTGTCCTACCGGCAATCTTTGCACCCTCGACCCTTGTGCTTCATTAACTGAGCCACATTAATCTATTGAAGGTAGAGCTCCTGTCATCTCTTTCAACAACAAAAAAAAAAAATGTTGCAGGGTTCAAAGGACACTGCACTCTTCTACTGAAATGAAAGGGAAACCCGGACACTGTCACTGGATGAAATCAACCGGCAATCCAGCATCGTTAGCAACACACACCTGCTTGTGATCTTTCACAATTAATTTCCAACAGTGATCTGTTATCTTCCACAATTAATTTCCAACAGTGATATTTTTAATGTACTGGCAGGAACAGTGTACTTGAGGACCCGTCGACGACTGAACTGCGACGGCGTCCAGGTTTTTCAGGCTCAGTTTTCGTAATTTCAGTTATCTGATCACCCATTTCAATTCTGCAATTTCATTTGTTTTTGCACGTATCTTATTCGTACAGACTCTCAAGGAACATGGCCAGAGACTCGTATCCTTGATTGCAAAAGATGGACCATCTGGAAAAGCCAGCCAGCTGCGAACCGATCAAGTGTCTCGGAAAAAATCGGCAGATCCATAAATCCAAGAGATGGACTCGTCGAATCGACTAATTTTGAAGTTTGTAATTTTTGGTTATCCGCTGCAAATGAAATACATTGCACGTGCTGGTCGAACTGGTTTTCTTTTCGGTTTGATGTCAGTTCAACATCAGCTCGAAATGAAATACAGTACATTGGAGTGAGTGAAGAACTGAAGATAGTAGCCCGTCGCATTCCAGGCCGTTGAGGGTTTGATGCGCATTAATAAGGCTCAAAAGGCTGAACATGTGGCCGTGGCGAGTCTCGTTCTGTGTTTCCTTTTTAAATAAATATTAAATGTGCCGTTCTGTGGTTAATGTGTCATAGTACAGTGTACAGAATTCTGATGGTTCCATGGCCAGCATCTCAAAGAGTTCTCTAAATATTCCTCTTAAAAAATCTATGTTTAGGAGAAAAAAAGAAGTTTATCTCCGATAATTCCTAATATTTGACTTCTAAAAAATCAAATGCTAGTCCCATTTAACGTTTTTTTTTCTAGTCTTCTTTTTTTTCCACGCGAACCTCTTCATCGCCGAGAGTATCCACGCCGCCGCCGTCTGCATCCGTCGTGTTGCCCTAGCCCAGCAGTGACAACCTGCACGGGCACGGCTTCGTCCGCAGCGCGTCAGGGCGTGGTGGCTGGCTTGGCCAAACAGACGGCAGTGGAAGGTGGCCGCGGTGACAGGGCAGGGGTCGGTAGCTGCCGTGTCGTGCGGTGCAAGTGCTTCAACGAACGCCAAGTCGCGGCAGCGCCGACGCGGCCTAGGCGTCGTGCTAGCAGGAGGTGTCCATGGCGGCAGGCTCGTGGTGGTGTAGAACGGGGTGCCAGTGAAGAGCTCACCGTGGCTCCATGGTTGCCCGGGCGTGGGGCTGCCAAAACTTGGCGAGGTCCCAGTATGCGCGATGATGGCCGCGCGACGCCCACGAGCTTCATGTGGTTTCTGTGCGTGCGAGACGGCAGCCAAGGGCTGCGGCTTGGCTTGGGAAACCGGAACAGAGGGGGTCCGAGGCTACGGCAAGGCGATGCAGTGAAGGCTGTCCTGGAGCAGAGGCAGCGTGCCTAGAAAGAGGTGTGGACGTGACATACGGAAAGGGCGTGCTCCGGCGGCGCGGGGCGGCCGTGGCGGCCAAGCTGTGCCCGTGCAGGTGGCGGCGACCAGGTGCGTTCGTGGCTTGGTGAGCCGGCGATCCGCGGCTTGTGCCTTCACAACAAGTCCGTCCAGCGGGACGACGACCGCGACCGCGACGCCAAGAACAAGAAGCGCCGGCCGCAGCACGACGCGCCCAGCCCACGCAGCACCAGCGGCGGCGGCTTCTTCTCCGCGGTCAAGAGCGCGGCCACCGGTGGCAGCAACAGCAACCCGTCGACGCCGACCCTCCGCTGCCGCACCAGGGCGCTGCAGCAGCCGGCGGACCCTGCCCCCGTGACGCCGCCGCCCTCAGCGCGTGGCTTAGTCCGCGTAAAGTTACACGGAAGGGGAAGGAATTTCTCAAGTCCTAAAATATTATGAGTAAATATTAGGAGTTGTTGAAGAAGATTTTTTCCCCATCTTTCTTAAAACAAGGATTAGGAGGATGTTTATAGAACTCTCGGAGATTACACGACAGGCTTACACTCCCAATCAGCATGGCCAATAATTCATTCTCGATAGACACGTGGATAATAATACTTATACTACTCATGAATGGGGAAAATAGTTTTTTTTTCCAAACAACAAAATGGCGAGCAAATTTAAAGCATATTGACAAATATTTTATGTATGCTTTTTCCCTAATAAGTTCACAGTAGGGGCACGCCCCTCCTGTCTTGCCTCAAAGAGAGAGAAGAAAACCACTGGAAAGATGTTCATATGTATCTAGACTAAGATTTTGATTTGCAACAAAGTCATGTGTTTTCTTCTAGCCTGATCAGACTTCAGACCGTATAAGATTTTTCGAAAAAAGACCGTATAAGATAAATAAATACTCTACCCATTCCAAATTATAGTTTATTATGGCTTTATCATACTGTAAGTCAAACTACTCTAATTGTGACAAAGTGTTAAAAAAATACTAACATCTACGAGTTCAAATAAAATGCTCTACCAAAACGCATTTCATAGAGACTTTAATGGAACTAATTTTATTTTTTTTTGCATTTCTGTATAAACTTAATCGAAGTTGAAAACTTTGATGCAGGACAAACATAAAAGTGACTTATGTTTGGTATGGCGGGAGTACTTAAGAACACAGTGTATAGTATTTGATTGATGTAAAACTTCGCCTTAAAAAGTCCGCACATGCATGTAACCGTCTACTCCCTCGATCCCAAAATAGATGACGCTTTTGACTTATATTATGTTTGATCGTTTGTCTTATTCAGTTTTTTTGAGTAAATAATAATTAAATAAGTTATTATTCAAGTATCTCTAGTGATAAAATAAGCCGTAACAAAATAATTAATATTTATATAAAAAATTATGAATAAGATGAACGGTCTAACAAGATGTGTAAAAGTAAAAAACGTCATGTATTTTAGGACGAAGGGAGTAACTGCTACTAAATAGTGTTGTTGGATATTTACATGCCATTGTTTTTTTTAAGGAACAGGAGGGGCTTTAAGACCCCTACTGGAATTAAATTAGAATGTAATACTTATACATGACACATGGACAATAATACTTATACTACTCATGAATGGGGAAAATAGTTTTTTTTTCAAACAACCAAGTGGCGAGCAAATTTAGAGCATATTGGTAAATATTTTATGTATTCCTTCTGAAAAAAAGAAAACAACTGGAAAGATTCTCATATGTATCTAGAGTCTAGACTAACAGTCTACAAGGAATATTTTCTGATGAATGATTTTGGATTTGCAACAAAACTTTTTTGACCAGACCGTATAAGATAAATAAATACTCTGCCCCACTCCAAATCATAGTTTATTTTAGCTTTATGGTACTGTAAGTCAAACTCCTCCAATTTTGACAAGTCTTAAAAAATGCTCTACCAAAAACGCATTCCATAATTTAATGGAACTATTTTTGATTTTTTTTTTGCATTTTTGTATAAATTTACTCAAAGGCGAAGACGTTTGGTTCAGGACAAACATAAATTTGGAATGGCGGGAGCACTTAAGAACACATTGTATAGTACTCCTATTTGATTGATGTAATCATGTAAAATTTCGCCTTAATAAAAAGTCCGCACGACCGCACATGCATATGTAGCCGTCTAACTGCTAAGAATTGATAATAATGTTGCCGGATACACGCCATTGTGGTACTCTATTTTGGAGCAACTCGGTAGCGTAGCGTAGCGTAGTTGTTAGGTCGCGAGGTTCTCCGGTTATGGCGACCCATTAGTGAGGTCAAACTCAAACCAGTAGCATGAACCATCACCACTTGGCGACATAAATACTAGTCCGTACTACTCTAGTAGCCTGTTACTTGCTCGTGCTCGTGTATACACCCACACTACTAGTTGGATCCGATTGGATTGGGTCCGTCCGGTAGTAAGCTGATCCAACGCCGGGGAAGCTGGACACACGTTACACACCACCGGTGCGTGGCGCGGCGCGGACGGTGCCTGTGCCTGTGCCTGTGCCTGTGCCTGCCCACGTCTATAAGAAGAAGAGGCCCTCTCGTGTTGCGCTTGCAGCGAGGAAAACAAGAGGAAGCCGAAGCTAGCGGCCTGCCTAGCGGACAAGAGCAGAGGAGGAGGAGGATTAGATCGAGGTGCGCCGATCGACCGAGGCATCGAGCGAGGAGCGACATGGCAGGGGGGCAGCCGCCGCCGTCGTCGGTGAGGACGGAGCGTCTCCTGCGGGCGGCGTGCGCGGCGATGGCGGCGGCGGCGGCGCTGCTGCTGGGGTTCAGCGCGCAGACCAAGACCGTGCTCTTCGCCCAGAAGAAGGCCGTCCCCAAGGACGTGCAGGCCCTCTGGTACGTACGCAGTCTCCTTTGCTCACCTTCTTACCACGCTAGGCTTGCACGATCGCTGGAAGCGCGTAGATTGATGTCCTTGCGTGTGCCTGCCTGTCTCCCAGGGTGCTGATCGTGGCGGCGGCGGCGGCGGCGGCGTACCACGCCGCCCAGCTCGCCCGGTGCCTCTGTATGGACCGCCTAGCCAGCGGCGGCGGCGCCGGCTGCCAGCGTCTCGGGAGAGCGGTCGCGTGCGCCTCCTTCCTCCTCGACAAGGTACGTGTCACGTCTCGAGTCTCGACGCGACGCACACGCTTTTGCTCTTGGCTCTCGATTTCGCCGGGCACCGGAGCAGATCGCCCTGCGCTGTGCCCCAACCGTTTCCATTTACACCCGTCGCTCTCGCTCTCGCCTAGGAGCCAGCTCTATCAGATTCTTGGCAGCTCGGCAAACAGAGTAAAGTTCTCGTGCCGTGCGGCACTGCACACCTGCGAGGCTGATCAGAGCGGCACGTACGTACCCCCGTCCGTCGTCGTGTGTTCCACGTAGGAGACTCATCACTCAGTCACTCGTGCAGTTGCAACTGCATCGGGTGCAGTACCACCAGTACAGGGTACACCAGCTGACCAGCACCAGCATCGTCTTTGATGTTGAGCCATTTCGCTCGTTGTTTTTTTTTTACAAATTTGCTCTCGTGTTTGCTGCTGGTGATGGTTTGATGCAGGAGGGATGCGCGTCATGGTGGTTGACGATAAGTGGCGGCGCTGCCACAAACGCTGTCTGAGCTGCCCGGACAAGACAAAGATAGCAACCCCAACCACCTCCTACTTCCAGTTGTGCCTTCTACTTACGCTGACCGTTACTGCTGCTGTACAAATTTGCTCTCGTGTTTGCTGCTGCCAACTTGGTTTGCATTGCAGGGATGCGCGTACATGGTGTTCGCGACGACGGTGGCGGCGCTGCAGGCGTGCTTCGTGGGGCTGCTCGGCGTGGAGGCCCTGCAGTGGAGCAAGCTCTGCAACATCTACACCCGCTTCTGCGAGAAGGCCGCCGCCGGCATGGTCTGCAGCCTGCTGGCCGCCGCGGGCATGGCCGTCCTCTCCACCTTCTCCGCGCGGGACCACTTCCGCCGCCGCCCCTGCCCCCCGTGCGTGCAGGTGCAGCAGCTCTAGGAGAAACTGGTTTTCCGATACGAAAGCATCCATCGATCGAGCTTGTGTGCAGCGTGCACAGAGGCTGATTTGGGACGGCACGAGAAGCAGGCTAGATAGTGTAAACATATATATATGTTTGCTGGCTAGGCTACTGTTTACCAATTAAGGGAAAAAGGGGATAAGACAGGACCATTCCGTTTTTTAGAGTATTTGGTTAGCGGAAAGGAGCACAAGGTCTAACCTCTTTGAAGAATACTCTTAGAATATTCCTCTAAATCACATGTACAATATGTGAACATCTTACTATATCTCACATAATGTTAAAAATAAATAGTAAAACATAAAATAAAAAACTACATAATTAGAGTAAAATAAAAGATATAAAATAAATTAAAATATAGAAAACATGAAGGAAAAGAGAAAAAAGAAGATAAATGAAAATGAATAAAACAAGAAAATAAAAAAAGATAAAGTAAATAAAACAATTGATTATAGGGGAAAAATAAAAAAAGGATAAAAAACTAAAAAACTAAAAGGAAGAACAAAACCATAAGAAATAACAATAACACAAAATTACAAGCACAAAAGGAAAAAACACAATATAAAAAATAACATAAGTGTCGGAGATATGTACCCAGGATACTCATCACATGGATAATGGTTAGGAATATTTTCTTGATTTCTTGTCCCTATGACAAATTAAGTATAACCCTAGCCTCCAAAGAAATCTTCCTTGAGTGTCAAAACCGCCAAGAAACCTTATCTTGGTGCCTTGACGGTTAGGAATTATTTTCTTTATTTCTTGTCCCCGCGACAAATAAGTATGATTCTAGCCTCTCAAGGAAATCATCCTTGAGCGCCAATAAAAATAATTTCCCTTGTCTTCTATATGTAACGGAGTTTTCTTGACGGTTTGTGGCCAATAATTATTTTCTTGGCGGTTTAGGCCCTTTTCTCAGCAGTCTTGGGCAGATTGTGGTAGTGAGGAGCCGATGTGCGCGACGGCAGAAGATCTCATTCCGTGATTTGCTGTTGGACACTATCAGCTCGATAATTGGTCGAGTATCATTATAAATTCCAATATTTTTGGCACAACACTTTAATCTTTTCTACGGTTTGGGAGATTAAACTGCATGTGAACATCTCCCAGGTTCAATAATGGCAAGACGCGGAACTCCACATAGCAACAACCAAACCTGAGGCACTACACATGTCGAGTTGGCTTCGCACAGAGCCTGATCGTGGACAGCACAGGTTCATCAGAATTCACACATGACTGACGAGCGACGAACACACTAGTTCAGCTATCAGACGAGTTCAGGAATCCGTGCGGCCCAACACAGGCGTGTTCAGTCTTCTCCTTGACTTTCCTCTTGCCCCTTCCTGACAGAAACACGACGGACTTACTACAGTTACATGACAGAATTCAGAGGACCTACCGACTCGACACAAACAAAACTCTGTAGCAGTGAAAATTGCCCCGGCTCTGGTCTGTAGGCGTTTAGAGGGCCCTGAGAGATCAGCAGTAGAAGTCATGGCTCGCTTGGGGAGGTGGCGCCTCATCTGCATACATCGGGACCTCAATGAAATTGACAAACTCAGCGTCGCCAGCCCCGAGGTGGGTAGGCTCGTCGACGAATCGCTTCTCCAGGTCTGCGATCCCGCCCACCAGTTGACCTCTCAGGAGTTCCAGTCCTGTGGCTTTCAGCTCCAGGTAGGCGAGGTTGAAGCAGGCAATGTCGAGTTGCTCTTTGGCCTCGCGATCCTCGCATTCCTCCACGGACCTGTCGCCTCCGTATGTCGCCGGGCTACCCGGGGAGCGCTGCAGGAGGAGGTCCCGGATGCCCTCGATGTGGTCCCTCATCTCCTTCTTGTCAACATCCTGCCACCGCAAACCAAAATCAATCATAAATAAATTAAGATGAGTACCTGATTAGTGATAATTTATGGAAAAGACATTATAGATGTAAAGAAACTATGTAGGGTTATTGTATAATCATTGGAAAAAAATACATGGTTCTGATTAGGCAGAAAAAATATGTTCACAATTTCTGTCATTGCACAAGCATAGTGTTTTCTAACTACGATCCCAGCTCCCACACACAAAGAAACTTTGTTAGTTAGACAACATCTATGCTCAGTGAAGGGAAGCGTTTAAAGCCATACAAAGCATATAAATCCGAGAGATTAGGAAGTACATACACCATTTCAGCACTTCCAAATACCAAATCAAATCGTGCTCGAATTAGTCACCAATTGAAGCCAGTAACAAACCGGCGAAGAATTAGACACACGCACTCCCAAAAATGGGATCGCGCCTGAATGGAATTCGTTGCGAATTCAAGCCAGTAGAAGAATTGAATCCACACGCTCCCCAATCGCATCCAAATTATTGGAGAAAGGATTTATTCGTCCTGGTTTTTCATCATGTGGTTATTCAGTTATTTTTGTGAAGAAGAAGGACGGTACTCTGCGGATGTGCGTGGATTACCGCCCTCTCAATACGGTAACCATTAAGAACAAGTATCATTTACCTCGTATTGATACTTTGTTCTATCAGTTGGCCGGTGCCAAAGTGTTTTCAAAGATTTATCTTCGTTCTGAGTATCATCAAATTAAGATCCGACCACAAGATATACCAAAGACAGCTTTCTCTACTAGGTATTGGTTGTATGAATATCTAGTCATGTCTTTTGGTCTCATCAATGCTCCTGCATTCTTCATGTATCTCATGAATTCAGTCTTTATGTCGGAGTTGGACAAATTTGTAGTGGTGTTCATTGATGATATTTTGATATACTCCAAGAATCAAGAAGAGCATGCACAACATCTTCGGATAGTACTGACTCGATTAAGAAAACACAAGTTGTATGCTAAAGTCAGCAAGTGTGAGTTTTGTTTAGATCGAGTGTAGTTTTTGGGACATGTTCTGACACATGAAGGTATCTCTGCAGACCCAAGCAAGGTGCATGATGTGTTAAATTGAAAATCTCTCAAGTTGGTGCATCAGATTCGCCAGTTCTTTGGTCTTGCTGGTTATTATCGATGCTTTATTCCTGACTTCTCCAAAATAGCTCAGCCGATGACCAAGCTGCTCCAGAAAGATGTCAAGTTTGTATGGAGTCCGACTTGTGAAGAAGCTTTCCAAGTCCTGAAGAAATTTCTTACATCTGCTCCTGTTCTTGCCCAACCAGATATTGACAGGCCATTTGATGTGTATTGTGATGTCTCAAGGATTGGACTGGGATGCGTGCTTATACAGGATGGACGTGTGATAGCTTATGCTTCACGTCAGTTGAAAAAGCACGAGGTGAATTATCCCACTCATGATTTAGAGCTGGCTACTGTGGTGCACGCTCTAAAAATTTAGAGGCATTATTTGTTGGAAAATAAAGTGCACATTTTTACGGATCACAAGTACCTTAAATATATCTTCACTCAGTCCGAGCTGAATATGAGACAACGGAGATGGTTGAAGCTAATCAAGGATTATAATTTAGAGGTTCATTACCATCCTGAAAAAGCTAATGTGGTAGCTTAGCCTTTGAGCCGAAAGTTGTATTAAGTTGAAGAAGCACCCTTATCTCTCAACCATACTGATGGCTAGCCCATATTGCTCTAGTCTCGAATTTACTCGAGCAAATTATTATAGAGCAAAGACATGATGCTTTAGAAATCCCGCACATCAAGAAGTTAATTGCCGAAGGACGTGGTCCTCATTTTAGTATTGATGATCAAGATGTAGTGAGGTTTAAGAACAGATTGGTTGTTCCCTCAAATGAGGAACTTAGAAGAAAGATTTTGAAGGAAGCTCATCATTCCAAGTTGTCTATCCATCCATGAAGTAACAAAATGTACCATGATTTGCGTCACTTGTATTGGTGGGCAAATATGAAGCAGGAAATCACCAAGTACGTCGCGGAGTGCGACACTTGTGGAAGAGTTAAAGCAAACCATATGCGTACCCCAGAATTTTTGCAGCCCTTGCCTGTCCCTGTTTGGAAATGGGAGGAGATTTCTATGAATTTCATTGTGGGTTTACCCCGCACGTCCAAGGGCTATAACTCTATTTGGGTCATTGTGGATCGCTTTACTAAGTCCGCTCATTTTCTTCCGGTGGATACCAGATATTCAGCCAAGAAATATGCCAAGTTGTATTTTGACTAGATTGTGACCCTGCATGGAGTTCCTCTTACTATCATCTCTGATAGAGGATTAGTCTTTGTCTCTCATTTTTTGGAGCAACTTCAGGAGTGTCTTGGTACTAGTCTTCTCCAAAGTTCAACTTATCATGCGTAAATTGACGACAAAATAGAAAGGGTAAATCAGGTACTTAAGGATATGTTGAGAGCTTGTGTCATTTCTTTTCCTGAGAAGTGGGATGAATGCTTGAACTTAGCTAAGTTTTCTTATAACAATAGCTATCAAGAAAGCATTCGTATGGCACCATTTGAGGCCCTGTATAGCAAGAAATATAGAACACCACTTAACTGGGTTGAAGTAGGTGACCATGGATATTTTGAGCCTGATTTTATCAAAGAAGCTCAAGAGCAAGTTAGCATTATTCAGAGCCATTTGAAGGCAGCTTAAAGTCATCCGAAAACTTATGCGGACAAGCGAAGAAGGCCCTTGTAATTTAAAGTTGGTGATCATGTGTATCTCAAAGTGTCACCCATGAGAGGGGTGCATCACTTTGGTGTCTAAGGAAAGCTAGCCCCTCGCTATGTTGGATCTTACAAGATTTTGGCTCGGTGTGGTTCCGCTGCCTACCATATCCAGCTCTCGGATATTTTGTCAGCAGTGCATAATATCTTCTATGTTTCTCAATTAAAGAAATGTTTGTGAGTCCCCGATGAAGCTATGGAAATTGAAGGACTTCCCCTCCAACCCGATTTGTCTTATATTGAGCATCCTATCAAGATCTTGGACGAAAAAGAAAGAGTGACTAGAAACAGTGTGGTAAAGTTTTACAGAGTTTAGTGGTAAAATCACTCAGAGGATGAAGCAACGTGGGAGCAAGAAAGCTATATCTTGAAGCATTATCCCCACCTTCTTTCTAGTTCACCGAGGTAATTGTTTAAATCGGAATTTATTTCTTATCTATTTTCCACTAGGCACACGAAATCTTGGGACGAGATTTTGTTTAAGGGAGAAAGAGCTGTAACACCCTCGGTGTTACACCCTAAATCATTTACTAAAACACGTCATGAGCATCATACTTATGGGGTAATGCATGTGATGAAACGAATAGGTGAAGTATTTCAACTAAAACGATCAATAAGAATGCAAAACGAAAAGTTACTCCACGATTCGTACAATTATCAAGTATGGTTGTAAAGCAATTTTTATCGAGTAAAATTACTATAGAACTTATATATGGGGCTTAAATAAAGTTTGGAGTGTGAACTTTGTAGAAGATGATGAAATACTTGCTGTTGAAAAATAATCTTGCTAGCTAATATTTTCAATACCTTAGAAATACAATTTGAAATAGAGTTCAACTCTAAACTTAGAAAAATTTTCAAGTCTGTTGACAGTTAGACATTGCTATGTTTAGCAAACTATTTTGAGAAATTGGGTTAAAGAGAGATGTAGTGTTATAGCTTGATTAAGTAGCCTCATATACCATCTTGAGTGTAGTGAAGACCGTTTATGTTTAGGAGTAACGGTTTGGTCACGGTAGAAGCTTTAAAATCCGTGCACAGCACGTTTCCGGTTTGCTTCCCCCACGTGGACGTGGTCACCGCGCGTCAGTGGTCGATGTCGCCGTGTCGGTGTGCCTCGCGCGCGCCTGTGTGTTGCCGCGCTGGGCTAGGCGTGTGCTGTGGGAATAGTCATGGGCACTGCCGTGTGAGGCCACCGCCGCTGCCACGCGGCCGTGCCGTGCTGCCAAGTCCGTTGTGCATCGTGACATGCCTACTGCCGCTGCCGTCGCACCCCCGCGCTCATGTCTGTGCCGCAATGCTCTGCGCCCTGGCCCGATTTGATTATGTGCACGTGGTTGCACCCGCCATCGTCACATCATTGATGGTGCTGCGGCGCGCGGGCCAGGCCGACGTGAACACGCGCGTGCTCGTTCTCTAGTGGCTAGACTGGGTCACTGCGGTTACATCAACCGTGTCCCGCCAAGGCATGTCACAGCAGAGCCCTGGCCGCATTCCACCATCCTCGCTCTGTCTCCCATCTCTCTGCCGCCGTCGTCGCCTTGCGCCCACGAGTGCGCCAGAGATAGGTCACCTCTATTTAATTCGGCTCGTCCACACCTCCGCCCTCATGTCTCCCCGTTGCCCAGCCCCGCACCGCCTTGATGATGGCCCGGCCAGGCGCCAATTTGGCGTCTTCCCGACGGTGATGCCGTTAAGGCCGCGCCGTGGCCATGACCGAGGGTAGACCTCCCATCCCTCCACCGGAACCCAATTGCCCACGCTAGTAGGTGTGCCTTGCCTTCCTCTTTGTCATGCGTGCCTCGGTTTAGTCGCTATCAGCTCCACCCTGCCGCTGACGTGACCGTGTTGTCACGGTACGCCGCCGCACGGCTCGGCTGCACATGGCCAGCTCATCTCCACCACTCTCTTTGCCAACGGTCACCGTAGCTAGGCTCACGGTAGCCTGTTAATGCTCAGTCTCTAGCTAGATGGGTTCGTTGATGCTTGAGTTCACCGGGGCGGTCGCGCCACCGTTGTGGATGGCCGCGTATCGCTGTGGCCGGCTCCAGCGCGTCCCGTCGCCCCGCGCTGCTGCTAGGTGTAGCTGGTTGAACTGGGGATGGAGGTCGGTTCGACCGTCGGGCCAGTGGCAGTCCCAGGTGGCCGGCGTAGCCGTGCTAGGCCACCGCTCACCGCGCCGCCGCGCACTGAGCCGCCACGTGCGCGCGGGTAAATTAGAAAAAAAGGCCGGGGGGTTAAGTGAGAGGGTATGTGAGTAAGTAAAATAGTGTTGGTCCTTCGTTGCGAATTGGGGGAAATACAAGGTCTCTTTTGCAAAAAAATGCTAACGCGCGCGGGACTCTCCCGCCGCTGGCCGCCTCACGGTTGGGCCTGCTTCCCGTGGGCCGCGCC